TCAACCCAAACCTGTGTTGACTAGGATGCTTGAATCAGGCCTGATTTCGCCTTGATGTCTTGAATATTATTCCTTAATTCAAGGTTGGTGTCTTGAAAATTGAGGGTCAATTCAGCCAACAAACAACCAAATTTTGCTATGTGGGTTGATGAAGCCACTGAAGCCAGTAGCTTGATTGAATGGTTTGTTTGATAACAATTACTCTCGGTCAACGCCGATAAGACATAACCTTAATTTAAAAAATGTACTACTACAGTCTTAGCCTGGGACAGTGGCGTCGGTGACTCCTATCTCAATGGATTATATGTCAAATCAAAACTAACAAACTGTCATATATTCTTGGAATTGACAATAGTTAAATAATCGTATATACTAAATATCCCGCCCCACCACAGCAAACCTGCGGACTAAGCGAATTTCCATTTACCTTGCTGGAATTCGACTAAATTATTCCCTTAAAATTGTCAGATTTAGTTCCTATTTAAATATTATTTTAATGAGTACTTAGGTTTTGCTGATCCAGGGAAGGTATTAAGATGTGTTTTTAGCGAATTTCCCTATAGGGAAGTAGCTATTACCGTAGGTGGCATGGTAAGACCTAGGCCCGGGACCGATTTACTTTTTCATTTTGATGTCCCCAGAGGCCAGAAACACCATTCGTTCAAATTTTTATATATGTATATATATATATATATATAGACTAGCTGACCCGGCGAACTTCGTATCGCCTAAGTGGGTCGCTGCCTAAGTCATAGGTTTCCCCTAAGACAGACCGATGGAAAGAAAGTACCGTTACGTTTAATTTTCAAGATGATCTCGTTCGCATCGCTCAATCACGTCCTGGTTGAAGTTCGTTCGCTACGCTCACTCACCTTTGGGTTGGAGCTCGTTCGCTACGCTCACTCACCTTTAGGTTGGAGCTCGTTCGCTGCGCTCACTTGCCTTCAGGTTAGCTCGTTCGCTACGCTAACTCGCCTCCAGGTTGAAGTTCGTTCGCTACGCTCACTCACCTTTGGGTTGGAGCTCGTTCGCTACGCTAACTCGCCTCCAAGTTGAAGTTCGTTCGCTACGCTCACTCACCTTTTGGTTGCAAATTAGCCGTTGTCATAAATGTAAAAGAAATAATAGTGCTGCACCCTGTTGGTAATCCTTGTAACTTTAATGCTTTTGAACATCATAGAACAGAACCAACTTGTTTAATTGAAACAGCTGTTAAGATTCATTAATTCCATTTCTCATAAGGTTAACATGGGAAACTCCAGAGCCACTGGGGTGGAGCCCTTTTAAGAATTTCGAAACGGGAAATAGTTTACGTCCGATTCGCATACCTACAGAATTTACACACCAAATTTCATAACGATCGGTGAAGTCGTTCCGGAGGAGTTTGCAGACAAACACTGTGACAAGAGAATTTTATATATTAGAAGATTTATATATATATGTGTCCGTGAACACGATAACTTGAGTAATTTTTATCCGATTTTGATGAAATTTCGTTTGAAGGTGTAAGGCGGGATAAACTTGAATGAGTTCGCGAACCAGCATGATCGGACCATGGGAACGGGGTTTTACGGGGGGGGGGGTTTTATGGGGTAAAAATTGGTTTTTCTAATTTTTGACCCTCCAAACGCAAAATTTCCCAATTTTCCTTCAGACATTCTTAAAGAGCTATAAAAAAACAAACAATTTAGTATCTCAAAGTTTTTTTGTACTATTATTAGCTACGGAGAAAATTCAAATAATTGTTATTTTTAAATTCCCATGTTATTCTTATGGGGAATATTGTAAAATGTAGTCTGCTTGCTTATGGATATATTTTGATCAAACTTGGTAAATTTATTTATTTTATACTAAGTTATTAATATTTCTCTAAAAAACACACTTTTTTACCCTCCCTGTAGCAGCAAGCCTATGTACTCATAAAAATTAATGTTAATTAAATACATTTAATTGAAAATCAACTCAGGCAACTGGAAATTCGCTTAGTCGGTAGGTTTGCTGCGACGGGGGTATTATTGAAATGTTCATAGCTTATTACCGTATGATATAAACAAAATTGCTGAATTTGATTAAAATATATCCATAAAAAACCAAACTGCAACAGTTTATTATTCTCTGTAATAATATGAGAATCATAAATTTAAAATCTTTTTAGCTATACGTTAGGCATATGCTTAAATATACAAAATTATTTCTTTTTTTTAAGCTAAACAAAATGGTTTAGAAAATACATTGCAAAATATTATTATGTTTTTAAATGGTGAAACCCCGTTTTTACCCAATAAAACGCCCCAAACCCCTGTTCCCTTAATGTATCTGCAATACATCAATGCTATGGGAAGGGAGGGAAACAGGTCCACGGAAGTGGTGAAAGAAGTAGTAGGCCTAAAGGCAAGTAGCCTATTGCGGAGCGTGGGAACCGTTTGTGGCAGTTGGATTAATGTATCTGCATTACTAAGACTGCTGTCAGAGTAAACTAATGATTTTACTCAAGCAAAGCTTGGTCCCCAGGAATTTAGGTAGAATACAATGCCGTAAATTTGAGCTCAAAACAACAGCTGGGTAAAAAATGACGGATTTAAGAAATATTTAAACGGTTGCCATTTTGACTCGGTTGTCCGTTTGAGTTGAGTTTGGGTTTACGGTTTACGACAATGTATTTTACAAAATAAAACCTTTAATTTGATACCAAACTCCTATGCTGATACTATTCAAGGAAGCATGTACAGTATTAACATTTTACTGATTTGGTTAAAATAAATCTTAAATAAAAAAAAAAATGTCAAACCTTATGACAGATAGCCTGATCATACTCTGGACCGAATTACATGTGGGTTGTACCATTGATATATATACACATTTATACACTATATATACCTACAGGTATAGTCAATATGGTTGTAACAAAAGAAAGGTGATTGGTCCTATATGTGCAGGTTTTATTTGTATTTTGAAAATATTTATGTTAATTGGGTCAAAATAAAAATTAAACTTTTCTTATGGAGATTAAACATGGGACCAAAATTTATAGCTTACGACAGCAGCTACCCTGACTTTACTACTAGTACTGGACCGATTTATACACAGGTTGTACCAAAAGAATAGGTCCTATATGTGCGGGTTTTATTTGTATTTTGAGAATATTTATATTAGTTGGGTCTAAAGTGGAAATTAAACTTTTCTTATGGAGATTTAACATGGGGCTAATTCTATATATTAATAAACAAGCATGTTTATTGAAAACCTTTTTTCTCAGCTCCTGTGGATCACTGGGAATATCTACGTTAGAAATATGTTTGCCTATAGATGTGCAGAATCCCTTTATAAATTAAAATACAGTAGACTCCCTCTTATCCGGACACCTTTTAACCGGACATTGGTTTAACTGGACTACATTTGGCGGAAATGACATCTCTTTAACCAGAAAATTTTTATCAGCACATCTGTTTAACCGGACTAGATCGGCAGGAAGTGGGTGGTACTGAAACGACTGTTCTCGTGGGAAAGATTTGAGACCAGTGATCACGTGTCTAAATAAAATGCTCTCCTAAATTTAAGTCAAATACGCATTTAAACAGTCGGTTTTTATGAGTTTTTGGGGACGTCAGTTATCCAGAAAAACCGGTATCCGGACTGGCCTCGGTCCCGAGGAGTCCGGATAAGAGGGAGTCTACTGTAGGCTCAAAAATAAACACAAAAAATTAATTAAAAATTAAAAAAATTAACATGGGCCTTATGGGTTGCCATGTTGGTGACAAAATAACAACGTAATCCACTTAGTGGATAAGGCCGCTAAGGTGGTTTTTTCACTTAGCTAGTTAATGATCAGTGTTGAAGGACCTCGGGTACAGTCACAGAAGGCTGTTGATGTCTATCGTGCAGACGTTGGCTACTAAACTATAAACAGGACACGAGTCATGAGGTATCCACAGAATATAAACACACAAGCATTCAAACTTTTCATAGCAAATTGAGAAGCACTGACTGTCTATTTGTCTTTTGTCTCCATCCTAGAATGTTGCATATAACTTTTTATTGTATCTCTTTTGATTTCTTTGGACATTAAGATTACAGAGGCAAAAAAATAGTTTATTTTTGTAAAGATAATATTTTATCATGATAAACATTCAAATTAAAATTGACATATCATCATGTACTATTATACACATTTTCCTAATATCTGAATAAAGTCTGAAACACAATCTAAGGAAAACAACAATCAATAAATTAACTTATGTAAAAATATCAATTTATTTCTCAATCAACCGCTGTCATAGCTTTACACCAGAGTATTACAAACTTTACAAAACCAGTCATCATTAGATTTTATTTAAATCACTAGACATATATAAAATATTAACCTGTATTTTGATTTACACAAAAGGGAACATTGCATTTCATAAAATGCAAAATAATTTATAACTTACAACTATAATAGGCCTATAGGGTTAACACTGACAAATATTGTAAACATGGTATGGTTAAAAAAAATAATTGGTTTCCATTTCAATTTTGAAATGGTGTACTCACAAAGACTACAACTCTTTTTAAATAAATTTATAACTTAACACCTATTTTCCAGCACTATAAACATTAAAATTTACAATAACTACAAAAATGTCATGGATGATATAAAGCAACTGTTAATGAATCTTTAAGCAACCAATGACTTTCTTTTATGTATGAAAAATATATATCTGTAATTTATGTAGAAGCCATAATATAACTCTACAAAATAACGTTTTCAAAACTTACAATTCATATTTTATAAGGCAGTTTTAAATTAAAAAGGTATAATATTTGTATTTTTAGGCTAGTAACAAAATGTTCATATGTTAAATTTACTAAAAAAGTGTTGAAATACATTGTTTGATTGGTGTTAATGTTAATGTTAACTTGTTTTAAAGGAATGAGGAAAATGTATTATTTCGAGAACAATAAAAAATAAATTTGCTGTAGCTTGTATAGGTCAAAATACTCTACAACTTTGCTGTTTTGCCGCCCTTTACAAGAAACTTATCCAACGAGGAGTAAAAAGTAAAAATCTCACTAATCTTAAATTCCTTCAGTTTACAAGATTCAAAAATCAATCGTGGGGTAAACATTAATTGAATATTAAACACCTCAAATACCAAAACACACATTTTTAAGGCAACATTGGAAACTAAGATTACTGAAAACAGATTGCATATTTTGTAAGCCAACCAATTGAATCTTGGACATTTTAAAGTCTTTATCTTATACAAAAATACTAACATTATGTTAGTATACTTTGGATTTTGAATTATAATGTTTTAGTTGCAGAAACTTATTTTGCGTACAAACATGACTCTGATCACATCTCAAAACTTGTTAATAATTATTATGCTGTTCAAAGACAGGGAGAAAAAGGAAGCAAGCTGTAGTTTGTATCCTACAAGACTGTGAAGAGATTATGAATTTTGGTCACCTTTGTCACTTGAATCATTGTTCTTTACCAATATGAACCATGGCCAAATAATTTAACAAAAGTAATCATAAATTTGATTAAAAAGTTTACAGTAACAATAGAATGAAAAACAAACCATAAACTGAAATAAGTGATAAAAATAAGTTAATGACTAGTCTACTTGATGATAGGCTACATGCGTGAAAGTGATATTAAATCACGTTGAAAAAAGACACCTCAACCTAAATATAATGAGTGGGTAACTGTATTATCAGTAAGGAATGTTGATAGATGGTTGATTCAATTTGTAAATAAAAAAAACTTAACAACTAAACTTACATAACCAATCTTAGTTGCAAACATGTTTACTGAAATAATTTCAAGAGAATTTGCACATATAGTAGTCTTCCTCTTATTCAGACACCTAAATATTGACGCTCCGATCAGATCACCATTGCTGGATGGATGGATTTACCCTAGAAATCATTTCAAAAACTCTATAAGGATGTCAATGTTTTGACAATGACCGATTAAATTGATGTTGGTTGAAGAAAGGTGGCTGGATAAGAGAGAGACGACTCACAGCAGTGCGTAACTTAATAACAGATTAATATCAGCCATTACAGCTTCATTTTACAAGTGTGTTTACTTTCTAACACCACTGTGATCATTGAATAGTGCTTACATTTCAAAATGTAGAGCAATAATTATAGAGGAGATGATGATGCATAATTCTGTTTGCCAAACTTACCCAACAGTAACTATACAGTTTTGCTATACAAAAATAATAATTCATATTTGACTGTATGTACTGTATTGTATAACAAAAACAATTTAAAAAATATATTTACTTCAACGATTTGCTCAAAATAAACGTTTTTGATCACATTATAAAATAATTTATTGTTGACAGTAGTGCTTAACAGCTATTTTTAAGGCTCAAAAGTTACTTTGTTGTATTGCATGGCATTTATTGTTCAAATATTATAGAACATATTGTAAAGTAAACAAATAAAAAAACACATTCTAAAATAATAATTCACATTTGAATGTATGCACTGTATGTATAACACAAAGAAGGAAACAATAAAAACTATATTTACTACAAAAATTTGTTCAAAATAAACATTTTAGATCACATTCTAGTGTTGTGGCTAGTTATTGTTTTTTTTACAGGCCCAAGATGTCTCTTGAGGACCATTATAAAAACATTACATGAGCAATCAAGTAACTACACAAACGCTATGTTCTACAGTAGTGTGGAGATGAGGATAGAAGCTGCTGCAGCTAGGGCGACGGTGACGACGCTAGTGTGAGTGGAGCTCGCTCCGGCCTTCACCTCGTATTGCTGACATGGAGTCACCTGTACATGACAAGTTGTTAGAAATACTCATACAAAACATCAAACTTTTTTGATCAAATCTTTTTGATGGTACAAAACTGGACCCAGCTGTTTCTTGCTTTTATTACCTTACTTTATTAAATTACCTACATAACAAATTTTAATTTACAATTATATCTACAATAGTTTATGTTTTACAGCTATTTATGTAAAACACTGTCTAACCTCTGATCACCACTATCGTTGTCCAATAGGCCTACGCCGCCCGATTCGCCGTCACTTTCACACAAAAGTCTATCAATCTCACTCATGAATATACGATCGAATTAGTTTGTATGCCCAATAAACCCGTACCTAAGTTATAATGACTTATCACCACTGAAAGTACGAACACAAAAGTCTGAACATCAAGAAAGTAAACAATCACTTCACATCTGTTCACATATTGCCAACCGTACAAATGAAATAAATATCCCTTGTCAATGTCTAATATTACAGGGAGAATAAGAAAACGATTCTATTGTAAAACTGTAGACTTATAACAAATAAAACACAATAACTGTTACATAATACAAAAAATCAATAATAAAGCTATGTCGTCATCTTGGAACTGTTCCGTGATAAGGTTTTTGGGCCTATTCAGCCGATCACGGAACCATTCCGTGATAAGTTTCCGATGGGTTAACATGGTTTACACAATTTGTTAGATTTTAACTTGATATTCTTGATAATCTATTAACTTTAATTGAATATTCTGCAAACAATTAACTCTTGCACCTAGCATCTTTTGCAAAAAAAATATAATACAATAAGATTTTCAGTGCATAATAAAAGGCGAGAAACCAATTACATGGTTGATTATATTGATGTTATTCTTATTGGTGTTGCTTATAATAACAGTCCATATAATATATTGGTATATAAAAATCTACAATCCACAAAATGATTACCTTCTTGACAAATGTGAACATGCTGTCTACGATGTTGGCAGGCGTGGGTTCGGAACACTGCTCCAAATGTTTGACTACACACTTTTGGAAGATCTTTATATCACTGTAATCAAGACCGACAAATTTATTACAGTCAAACTTATCATAAACCACACTTGGTAGTTTAATCATATTTGTGTTTGGAAAATGTTTTAAAACTTATTGGTAGCTGATATGTAAACTCAACCCAAATATTTTCATCTTGTGTATTGCCTTACGTATTACTTCATGAATTGTACACAAGAGCTTAAGTTACCTTGATTCTCTCCAAGTAATCCTTAAATCGTCATTAGTGCGACCAGTTCCGATGTCTATGATGGCATCATTGTCAAGCTGGACAGGAAACCGCTCCTAAGAGGTCGTCATGAGGTCGTTATCAACATTAATCTAGAGGTTCTACGGTCCCATAAAGGAAGAGGAAGATTTTTAGATACTATTGAGGAATATGAAATTTACAAGGCCGGCAATATTAACCCCCAATACATCCTAAATGATAAATCCTCATTTGAATCCAATATAATTTATGAGGCAGCCATAAATGAGATATTATCACCAGATGATAACTCGAGGGGGAAGGTGGGGAGAGGAAGACACGGCGTCAGTCTAGAGACCTACACCTTGTACCCGCCACCGTGTTGTAAATTAGTTGTGTGGCCATGCATTTTATCGGTTTTTGTTTGTGTATGTGTTTTTCAAGACTCATGACGACCTCCTAGGAGCGATTTCACGTCCAGCTTGACAATGATGCCATCATCATAGACATCGAAACTGGTCATACTACTAATGACGATTTAAGGATCACTTGAACAGAATCAAGGTAACTGAAATGTTCTGAATAATTTAAGTTCCGCCCAAATTTCAAGTCTCTAGCAGGTTTCTAAACGGTTCAGATGAACATACCAAAGTCGGCAACTTTCAATGTTATTATTCCCCATAAGCATAACATGGGGGAGAATTATAAATTTAGGGGGGTTAATATTTAAAAATTTCACAGATTTTTTATCACAATGTTGTGATTAAATAAAACACAACTTAAAAAAAAGTCAACATCAAAACAGGTGTTTCTTCTACTAATAATCACTAGCGACTGAGACTCCCTCTGCTCCAGGAGCAGTGGTCAGCGATAGACGCTTCTGGCAAAATAGATTAACCTGAAACTAAGCGAAGCAGTGGGCAGTGGTTGACGTGGAGCGATTATCGCTGCGCGATAGACGACCAGCCCCTTCTGGCAAAAAAGGCCATTAGAACATTGTCTGATTAGAAGACATTTGAACAAGTTATAATTTCTAGTAATCCCATCTCGTTAAGAATCCTGCAGAACATCCCTTCTTTTGTAAACACACCACACTAAATAGAATAAATTAGAGAACATTTATTTTTTCTCAAGCCAACCACACTGAATAGAATAAATCAGAGAAAAAATACTTTGATTGCGTTGTAACTAACAAAAACCTTCTGAGCAAAAACAATCTACCAAAATTAAATGAAAAAAACAACAATCAGGTAGGGTCAGTGAACAATGATGCCTCATGGTAAGTCTTCTATTTAACAAAAGAAAAATGTAACTTACTTGCACTCAGGTTGACCGAGCTTGAGTTGCGGCAGTTCATCTTTTAAAGCCTCCGGATTGAGGGTTTCTTTGGGTGTGTACTTGGAGAAGGTAGAGTTGAGACATTGTACGATGTCCTCGTACTTGCTCTGTAGGCAATCTGGGCCTCCCTCGGCAATGAACACTGGAAACAACATCGACATAATGGCCAACAATACAAGCTTGAGTAGAGGTAAACTACAGTAAAGTATACACCTCAAATGTAGATATTTATGTTTACATTGTAGCCAGTATAAGAAAGAAAAAATGCATTCCTGCTGTAAAATGCACTCCAGCTTTTTAAAAATGCCAGCAAAGCATAAAGTGTAGTGCTTTATAACTTGTGAATATAAAGTGATTATAAAGTGAAAGCGTAGTTTACTGTAAAATATTTAATTTTGTGTGTCTCTATCATCTATAATTGCATGAAAAACTACAAGAGAAAGTATATTTAGATTGTAGAGGCTTTATGAAAGGCTCATTTGACTGTATTATATCTAAGTAAACTAGCTACGGCTGGTTCACTGACATCCATACTACATAGATTTGATATCAATTTCAGTGTCCTAAGTCAAAGGTAGAAGTAACCTTATCTAAAATAGAGTGAAATAATTTTTCTGGAACTTGGCTCTAGGGAAATTGCCATGAGTTACATCCCAGTTGCAACAATAGAAACTAAGTTTCCAAAACAAGTACTACAGACTTATAACAATAAACAATTTCAAAAAATACTGCCAAAAAATGTATGGATTGTGTGGCTTTTATAAGATTTAATTCCATTTTAAAACAATAGTTGAAGTAAAATTTGTTTTATTCCATAGATGACTATCTGGCTAGTGATATTAGTTCTCTCTGTTTTTAGACAATTAAGCTAATTTTAAAGTTTTCCTAATTGTTCATTTCATGTAAATTGTTAATTTATTTTACAGTTTATAGTTGTGTTAACAGTTTTATTTTAAGGCTTTATTGCTACTCACTTGGTGCATTTTCTCTGTTTTTTTAACAGAAAATTATTTGTTTGTTAAACTTAAGAAAACATAGACTGTGTCTGTTGTAATACTTGTATTACTGAATGACAAATAAAGATCTTGAATACAGGTAGAAGTGTGTTTGTTTGCTAGCTAAATGCAGTTTTTAATGCAATTTAAAACTAATATAGGTGGGTGGTAGCATTCTCCAGCTAAACACTTACACTTTTCCTATTTGTTAAACGTGTACTTCACAATTTATTTAGGTGGGTGGTAGTGTAAAAAATGCAACATCTAAAAATGATAAATCCTGAAAAGCTTTTTCACCAAAGAGTTAGACAATTTTTTACATTATAAAATGAACAAAGAGTACAAAATTTAACAAAAATTAACAAAGAAAGGTTACTCAATATAATTTTAACAACAGATATTTCAAAAACTCATTTTTTATCCCAAAAGAACCTAAAATTCATACACTTGATATAATTTTTATAACATTCTTACATTAATTGTATTCTGATGTTAAAGTGGGAAAAAATTACTTTTAACTTAAATTTTACAGCAAACAGTATCATGGCAAGCATTAGTTATACTATAAAAATTACTAAATTAAATTAATTAAATCATGATTACTGTGTGCAATCAGTGTCTTATCAAGTGACCTAATACTTGGTATCATGCAAGATAAGTCAAAACAAAAGGTCTGATTCACAAGCTAGTGTTTGTGTTCTTTTTGACCTTTGATCACACAGTGGTCAATCTATAACAAATGCACGATCCAACAAAGAGAATTTTATCTGTCATTATTTAAGTTCCGTACTCTGTCACTGTAAAATATTTTAAAGGCAAATTCACAGCATAAAATCATGTTACAATATACAAAAAGTAGGAAAATGCATGAGTAAAAGCTAGGCAAAATCTTCAAAACATTGATGTAAAATAAACTAGGTCGTTTTAATCACTGTCACAAACCAAACTATCCACACAAATGTACAGCTTACAGTATACAGCTCACTGACTTGTAAAACCTATTACGGTCATAAAAAGTAAAGTATGAAAGGTGCAGAATTCTGAGTTTTGGTTAACAAAAGGCTATTATTATGTGGTTAGACTTAGAGAGGAGCCAGTTCTTCTGAAGTTAAATAAGATAAGTTCTACTGTAGTAGTAAAAAAAAAAAAAAAACTAAAACTTCCAAAAGTAAGAACAAGCACAGATAGTGTAAGATGAATTTTTCTTAATAGCTCATTTATTTATTTAAATTGGCATCATACAAGGAGTATTCAGAAATTAAGAAAACAGTAATCACAGGAAATGAATACAATGTTGTTGTGATCCCAACAGTTAATCAGGATGTTGCCAAAATTGCTTTTTGAATGTTTCAGTAGTTTGAGTTGGTTTGTATCAACTATTAACGTAGGCCAAGTAAGAAAACAATAAAATAACCTGACACCTTACGAGGAATTTACATTCAACACAATTGCCCTGATGCTGCAGCTCATAGCGGCCAATAGGCCAGGTCCCGGTAGGTTCCTAGTACATGATATTTTAAAGTCAACCCTGGTATTGGTACTATTCCGATGGTAGTGACAAGAATTGCCCTCACATCATTGATTGTTCTCTTGATACGTACATGCTATCCGGTCACCCTCCTTGAAGCAGATAAAGCTGATGAGAGCGTCTGTGATGTTAGTAATGGTCTGTTTGGTGCCGAGCTCCTCAGGACTCAGGCAAGGCTCTATTGCTTCTGTGAAGTTGGTCACACAGTTCCTCAGCATAGGAGACTTTCTGCCAACATTGAAATATTTGAAATCAAGTCTTGAATAGGTACTTACGTAAACGGAGGCCACATTTTGTCAGCGCGCTGCGGCGGTTATGTTAGGTTGGGTTATCATAATAGAAAGTATAACTCGTCTGGTATCGTTCGATTCATAACGAAGCGAGGAAAGTCCTACACACATAATATTTACGATAACCCAACCTAACATAACCGCCGCAGCGCGCTGACAAAATGTGGCCTCCGTTTAATACGTAAGTACCCTTGAATATAATATATTGCTCAAAATTACTTGAGAGAAACAGTATGAAATAAAAAATACCCTCGCCGCAGCAAACCTGCAGACTAAGCGAATTTCCATTTACCTGGCTGGATTTCTACTAAAATATTCCCTAAAAGTTGTCAGATTTATTTCCTATTTAATTAAAATTAATTTTAGTGAGTACTTAGGTTTGCTGCTACAATGAAAATATTGAGATGTTTTTTTTTTTTTATTGCAATTTCGATAGATTAGTAGTAAATAAACCAAATTTCCAAATTTGGTTTAAATATATCCATAAACAAGCAACAATTACAACAATACAACAATTTATTAATTTATTCTCCATAAAAATAACATAGGAATTTTAAATTTACAATTTTTTTAATTATCTCCCTAACCGTGGGGCATACAACAACACTTGACTGTACAAAATTATTTCTTTTTTTAAGCTCTACAAAATGGCTTGGAGAGAAATTATGAAATTTTGTGTTTTTAGGGTAAAAAATGGGGAAAAATAAATTTTTACCCCATAAATCCCCGTTCCCATAGTCCGATTATGCTGGTTCCCGAACTTGTTTGAATAGATGTAGGTTTACATGTTTGTACCAAATTTCATCAAAACCGGAACATTTTTGCTCGAGTTATCACTCTAACAGATGCATATATATATATAATTATGAAAAATAGAATAATAGGGCTACTGTATATACAGGAAAAGGAAAATTAAAAATTGACCAACTTAGTACCCAAGTAAAAATTATTTATTATGATCTTAATAAATAAATTTATAAATCTTAATAAATAATTTTTTAATGGGTACTAAGACTTTTTTTCCAGAAGTTAATATTATCTCAATGCTAACCTGCAGTACTTTCTGAAGACGATGTCCAGGTCTCCAGTAGGTTTAGCTAGTTCTATCTCTTTCTTGATTACTGTGGTGTTCACCAGTCCACGTAGGCAAAATTGTAAATCTTCTTTGGCAGCCTGTGAGAAGATGTAAAATTAGAGGGGAACAAATTGTAATGATAGTGCAAGTGGAAATTAAAATAGAAAAAAAACCAGTAAGTCATGTTAATTGTACTAATTATAATCGTGATTATTGTAACTGGGACAGACATAATGCAGTTAAAAGCATTACAAATATTTGTTGCAAAAATAAAATACATTAGGCCTACATACAACATTAACAGTAAATTTTGTACTCGATTACACCAAGACATGAGAAGTAAAAGAAAGGTGGGGGGTAGAGGATTTTTATCCCCATGGAATTTTACCCCCTGGGCAAACGTGACGTCACAAACCAGGGGGTAAAATTCCGACCGCGAACTTTTGAGTTTCGCGACATCAGCTCGATGGATTAAACGTGGAATTAAACATATATTTTCACGGTTGTGGATTTTATCAGAACACATCAAATTATAAAAACCTACAGTGTACGGCCCGGATTTTTACCCCCGGAATTTTACCCCCTGGCCAGATGTATAAATTAGCGAGAATGATTAATTATCTTCATTCTGTTTTAATTTAATAGTAAACATTTTATTATTAAGTAGCCTATATTAATTTATTTGTAACATTAACTAATAGAACAATTTTTTGATTTTAATTTTGAGATTCTAGTATTAGGATTCGATATCTTTGGAGCCAACAGTTGGTTAATATGACGTATAAACAATCAACTGAATGATAAAATTGTTTTGAACATTTCTTTACAAAATAAATAAATAAAGATAGGCTACTTCATACAATTTATAAAATCGGCTAGGGGGTAAAATTCCGGTGGGTAAAAATCCGGGGGTTAAAATATGAGGATAAAATTCCGGGGGGTAAAAATCCGGCCCGTACAACTTCAGTTGTCTAAACGCTAGATATACGGACAGGGGGTAAAATTCCGGTTTTTATCGCTAATCTAATTAATCACGCTCTGGCTATTTTCATTAGACTTCGAAATCCGCAGGGGTAAAATTCCGGCCGCGAACAAACTTTTGGCCACTCAGTTTACTACGTCATAGTGGCGTCAGCTTTGCCCGGGGGGTAAAATTCCAGGGGGATAAAATTCCGGCGACCCAAGGTGGGCAGGTATAGGAACTTGATGAATTGAATTGATTCAAGTGCAAGTATCTAAGCATGACAAATCTTCAGAGTTGAGTCGAGGAGGCCCAAGATATACCTGCTACAGTGTTAAGTCATGACAAAAGGAAATACAGTAGCACAATACTCCACAGTGTTCAATCGTGGAAAGGGTATGCGAAGATAAAATAATCAAGACTGAAGTATAGCAGCGACCTTAAATGAAGTTGGTACCTTGAAAGAGTATCAGTTATGACTAATGCCAACAAATAAATCTACTGCTTTCACAGTGTAGGCTAAACTAAGAAAAGGCTCGTCCAGGGCCAGATTTCTAAATAGGCTGAAAAGGCTGCAGACTAGAGTGGCAAAATTTATGGGGCGGCACTTTGGCAATTTACTAAAAAATGAAAGTATAAATTTTGATAATTTTAATAACAGAAACTTCATTAGACATATCTTTCATATGTAGCGTATTAATTTACAGAGATGGAAATATGTTTATTCTATTATTCTTTCCTTTTCATAGCATAATACGAATTTTCTCCACACACACATAATGTTGTAGCTGCAGCACATTTTTCATACAATGTTATTTGGTTTGATAACACTGAACACTGTAAGCCGAGTCAGTGTCACTACACTGTAGAGATGAGCATCGATAGGTCAACCACCGATGTTCACCTTGATGGTAACTTCGACGTCAACCACCGAAGTACCGATAACATCGTTGCGAAGACATCGATGTTTTGGGACTATAACAAAAACATCTATGTTTTTCAGTGTTTTTTTTTTCAGTCTTTTTTCTGCTCTCTGTACTCTCCAGTAGTGGAAAACAATGTTATCTCAATACTTGGCCAAAAACATCAGTAGCCTACCATTGATGTAAAAAACATAGAACATCGATAGAAAAGCATTGATGTTTTGGAAACATCGGCTATCGATGCCTATCCCTACATGATGTCAGAACAACCCTTCCTAACGTCTCTTGTTTATGTTTCGGTAAAACAGTGTGTCAATCGGTGTCATCAGTGATAAAACACAGTAATGTTGTAATTTTCTCCTGCTCCTATGATTGTGTTATGATTGTGTTGTGATTACTGGATTAAATTATTCAATGAAATAAGATACAGTTCATTATGAGTGACAATAGGAAGAGACTCAGTGGTGCCGAGTACAAAAACAATCCAAATTAAAACTTCAAGTCAAGAACAAGAACATGTTCTCAAACAAACAAATAAACTAGATAGAAAACAAAAAAATCATACAAAATGAACGTATAATATGTAACATATGAATCTATTAACTGTGAGTATAAAAAAAATGGAAGGGGGGAGCGGGAATTTGATTTAGCTTATTTAGGCGGCATACTCCTAAATCTGGCCCTTGGTTCATCACAGCTGAAAGTTTCACATGGGTACAAACTGATTTGAGTGAAGAATATATAGATCTTAGGCCCATAAAATTTGTTAAAACAAGGCTTCACTGTATTAATATTGCTTAGCAAAGCGTTAAGATTGTTAAATGGTTCTGTACAATTGTGATTGGTTGATCCTATTTTGTTAATTGTTAGTAAACTAATACAAATTTAACTGTCATTAACTATCACTTTTTTGATATTCAAGGAAACAAAGTCCACAGTAAATGTAGCCGACAGTAAAACAATTGAATTGAATTCCATGTGGGAACTAAAAGCCTCTCTGTCCATTGTTTTTTGTTTGTTTTTAACTTTTGAATAGTAATAACATACAAGTAAAAAAGGTAGCCTAATAATTAAAGGCACAATCAAAGTCTTTTAGTACATTTTAAACTAAAACACACAATTTACAAGAGAAAATTAAATTTTTATTGATACTGTTTCATGATATATATTTTCATGGTAAAAACATTAGTTTAATTATGCTGAACTCTTTTAAAAGAATTTCCAAATTTTTATACATACATAAATTTTATCACAAGTACAAACTTGTAGTAATATTCTAAATTGTTTTAGTAGGCAATTTTATTCCTAATGTTTTTCTTATTTACTTTTCAAAATCAAAACTCAATATAAGATTAATTTAAAGATAGAGAATAATCATCTGTAAATTATTATTTCTTATTCATGGAACACTGAAGCTTGATAACGTTGTTCAACAACAAAGACTATTAGAAATGCCAAGTCTTGCTGCACTTATCCAATTAATTTGACTATTGTGAAAAGGAAATTAGCAAAGACAATGATGGGGATTACACAAGAGCTTCAAACATTTTGCTATTAGGTTTTACTATAATCAAGAAGTTCCTCATGATTCTTGTTGGCTAGGTCTTTTATTTTTTATAGCAATACATTTTGTGCCCAGGACAAATAAATTTGAGTGTAATTGGCTTGTTTTTTTTATACACAATGACAACAATTATAAGCAATTTAAAGATAATAATACTGATGGTGTAGACGATATTTCATACTATTATTGAAGATTATACTACTAGTTAGATTTGTTAAGCTGCCTATGTTTGTACATTAAATTCTCACTTATGACAAATTTGTAATTGAAATTCTGGATTAGCAATCAATGAGGATATGGAGGAGGAATCATATTAGCTAATATTAGTCTTTCTTGCACATGGCATATGCCTACTAAATGATATGCAGGCAGCAGGGAAGGTATTGTTTCATTAACAACATGACTCAGGACACCTTAATCAGCTGACTCAGCATATCATGTGACCACAAATCAGCTGACTCAGCTTATCATTCGACCTTGAGTCAGAACCCTCAGCAACAAACTATGAGGATTAGCACTAGTGTTAGCCACTACAAACAAAACAATACAAAATTGTTAGTCAAATTAAAGGCTTTTTGATTGGTAGTACAGTAGACTCCCTCTTATCCGGACGCCTCGGGACTGAGGCCATCTTTCCCTCGAGAACAGTCGTTTCAGTACTGCCCACTTCCTGCCGATCTAGTCCGGTTAAACCAATGTGCTGATAAAAGTTGTCCGGTTAAAGAGATGTAATTTACGCCGAATGTAGTCCGGTTAAACCGATGTCCGGTTAAAAGGTGTCCGGATGAGAGGGAGTCTACTGTAGATAAATCAGAATTGATGTCCACTTATTTGTTACTTGTGATATATATTTCATAAATAAATTATACGATATCCTAGTTTTAAGTGTTGTAAATAAAAAAGTTTTAACTTTACATACATAGACATTTTTTCATAACATTAGCCATTTTTTTTAGCTATTTCAATTGAAAAAATTAAATTGGCCAGGCTTCAGCTGATTAAAACGGGTTTGGGGGGAGGTGTGAGAACAAATTAATGTTCAATCGATTCCTAGAAAGATGCACGTGAGGTACCGTTGCTCCTAAAACTGCCGGCAAGCTATAAAACATATTTTTCTATAAAAACAAATGCACCTGGAGGACAACTCCCCTGTGTCACCAATGAAAGGCTAATGCTATTGAATATCATAGAACCTAGCTTACTTGTTTAGTTGAAACAGAGGTGTCAAGGTTCTTTGATTCTTTTTAAATATGGATACCCAAAAAGTGAACATGGGAAAACTTCAGAGCCTCTGGGGCGGAGCCCAAATGGTTTTTATAAATAAGAATAATCCTATATGTTAATGTGTGATTGAGCCCCAAACAAATAAACTAACAAACTTGCAATCAAACACACAAACTTTCATATTTATAATATTAGTAAGGTGATAATAGTATATGTAGTATTATATAGCAAGATTATTGTATCCTCCTTGGAAAATACCTATACTTTGTTTTAATTTGAAAATTTTAGTCATCTTGTGCAATGTTCCACAACGTAATACAGCAACACTCCCCACAGGATCATATTTACCAGGTCTTTGTACTACCGTGTCCTGACAATAACAATGAGTCGTTGTAATACTCAAATTCAGCAGAAGTATTGTGTGTA